CTTTGAACTCATGATCCTCCTGCCTCAGCCTTCCAAGCTGCTGGGATGACAGGTATGTACTACCATGCTGGGGTTATCATCTTGTACGTTTATTTTTAACTGTCAGTTTTTGCCTTTTTTTTTTTTTAATCTGAGGGATCATGTTTGCACATGATTCTGAACCTTGCCATCTTTCCCTCTAATGATAACACTAGGATGCCACAAGTTGTTTGGGCTTTCAAGTGTGTTGTTATCTGCCTCCTTTTCATCATGTGGTTTCCTGCTTTTATTACTATATGCAATGCAATGTTTCAGGAACATCACTAAACATATGCAAGTATATCTGAAGAATAAATTCCTACAACTGGAATTTATGTTTTTAAAGACATAATTAATAACAACAGAGGTTGTGTTTGTTTTATGAGCACTATTAGCAGATGTCAGCGACTGTTCCCCATATGACTACTTAACCTTTACCAACCTCTAGGCATCAAATGTTTCCCCAGATGATTCTGCATTTCTTTAATTATGATGAAGGTTGTGCATCTTTTCAGACACCTAATGGAATGATGAAAAGAGTTCTGGAGATTGGTTCACAATTTAAGTGTACTTAATACTACTGAACTATATACTTAAAAATGGTTAAAATGGCTATTTTTATGTGGGGTTTTCCACTATTAAAAATAGCTAAATACCTGTTGAATTCAGAAACTTGTGGGGAAAAAAAATTCCTCAATGGCCACCTGTTTGTATTGTGGTATTCTGTTACCGATCACTCTCTCTATGGAAGCAATTGTTCATCTCTGCATTGACTGATTAAGTCTACTAGTTTGGGGGAAATTTCAAACACAAGAGAAGAGAACATGGTATAGTGAGTCTCAGCCAGTATCTCAATGTTGCTTTCACAGACCCAACCACGACCTATTCTACTCCACCACTTTATTTTGAAGCAAATCACAGATTTTACACCATTTTATCCATAAATATTTCCATATTTATCTCTAAAAGGTAAGTGCTTAATAAAAACAACAATACCAAGTCACATCTAAAATTATGAATTTATTCCTTTAAATCATCCCATGTCCAGTTAGTATTCAGGTTTTCATCCATGATTATGGTATATCTGTCTGAACTAGGGTCCAAATTTGGTCTACTCATTGCAATGTTGACAAGTCTCTTTAAGCTTCCTTGAGATATCTACCTGTAAAAAGTTCTAGATGAAGACATGCCAATCTATCAATGGTGTTTGAAAGCCAGAGTTTGGGGAGGGCCTGGGCAACAAAGGGAGAACCTGTCCCTTAAAAACCAAAACCAAATCACCACGAAGAACCTGCCCTGTTTATATTACCAAAAGCAAAATAGAGATTCAGTGTGATTCCCATCAAAATACTAATGACATTCTTTAAAGGACTAGGAAAAACAGTCCCAAAATTCATTTGGAAGAATTAAAGACCCAGAATAGCCAAAGCAATTATCACAATACTGGACTTCAAATTTTACTACAGAAACATCATAACAAAAACAGCATGGTACTGGCATAAAAACAAGACACATAGGGCTGGGGTTGTGGCTCAGTGGCAGAGCACTTGCCTCTCACATGTGAAGCACTGGGTTCGATCCTCAGCACCACATAAAAAAATAAACAAAATAAAGATATTGTGTCCATGTATAACTAAAAAATTTTTTAAAAAGTCAGACACATAGACCAATAGTACAGAATAGAAGACACAGAGACAAGCACGCACACCTATAGTCATCTGACCTTTCACTAAGGTGCCAAAAATGTACATTTAAGACAGCCTTTTTAACAAATGATCCTGGGAAAGATGTTTGTTGGGAGCTGCCACATAGGAGTTGAGCGCCCCCTACCTTTGAGTGATGGAAATGTGGAGACTGACTTCTTCAGCCAGGAGGCAGGTGGATCCCCATTTCCCCTCAGCAGAGAAGCAGAGCTTTGGGTGTGAGCTGCCCCTTGTAACATTACCCCCCTGTCTTATATGGATAGAATGTTCTTTCAGACAGCCTCTCCCAATAAAACCTGGATTCGAGGCTGCTCCCTTTCTTGCCTGATTTGCCTCATTTCTGGGAGCTGGGTCAGAGGGGCCATCACAGAACCCCCCCCCCCCAAAAAAAAAGTATTTCTCTGTCATTATTTCATGCCAACCCAGGAGTGACCCTGACTGGATTAGTTGTGTGTTGCAACAGCTGTTATTTATATTAAAAGAATGAAGACCCTTATCTCTCTCTGTACAAAACTCAACTCAAAATGGATCAAAGACCTTGGAATTAGTCCAAAAAGAAAATGTAGTGTCAACACTCCAGTACACAGGCATAGGCAAGGACTTTTTCAATAGGACCCCTAAAGCTTGGGAAACAATGCCAAAAGTTAATAAATGGATGGCATCAAATTAAAAAGCTTCTGCACAGTAAAGAATTAGTGATATGGAGAACCCACAGGTTTGCCAGCTATTCTTTTGATAGAGGATTAATATCCACAATGTATAAAGAACAAAAAAAATCAAGTAATCTAATTAATAAGTGGGCAAATGAGTTAAACAGACACTTCTCAAAAGAAGAAATACAAATGGCCAACAAATACATGAAAAAATGTTCAACATCATTGGCAATTAGGGAAATGCAAGTACCACTCAGAATGGTATTGATCAAAATACAAACAATAATGGGCTGGGGTAGTGGCTCAGCGGTAGAGTGCTTGCCCAGCACATGCATGGCACTAGGTTCGATCCTCAGCACCACATAAAAATAAATAAATAAGGTAAAATACAAACAATAAATGCTGGAGAGGATGGGAAGAAAAAGAACACTTTTTACACTGTTGGTGGGATTATAAATTAGTACAACCACTATGGAAATCAGTATGGAAGATCCTCAAAAGACTACACAAGGAACCACTGTACAACCTAGCTATACCATTCCTTGGTATTTATCTGTAAGAATCCAAGTCATCATACTACAGTGATACATGCCTATGCATGTTTATAGCAGCACAATTCATAACAGCCAAACTATGGAACCATCCTAGGAGAACCATCAATGGATGAATGGATAAAGAAAATGTGTTATAGGGACACTATGGAGTTTTTGTTCAGCGATAAAAAAATATGTGAATTGCAGGAAAATGGACAGAACTAGAGACCATCGTGTTAAGCGAAATAAGCCAAACTCAGAAAGTGAAGGGTTGGATGTTTTCTCCCAGATGCAGAAGCTAGATAGAAAAAGGGGAAAGAAAAGTGGGGGCAGATCTCATAAAAATCAGAGGGAGATAATAGAGGAAAAGGAACAGGAGGTGGAAAGAGGGAAGGGCTGGGGTGTGACTCTGGCCAGATTACATCGTTATACTGTGTGCACAAATATATGACAAAAAAAATCCCACCATTATGCACAACAATACACCAATAAAAAATGTGGAAAGGAAAAACCCCTACCCAGTACTGGGGAAACTGGAGTGGGAGGAGCCCCAGCAGGGGGTATCCTTGGACAGACCTGGGATGGCTGTGACATGTGGGCTAGAGAAGGGTCCAAAGCTAAAGACCATTAGAGATGAATTATGGGGACATGCAGTGGTAGAATGGTGGCCAGCCCCACAAAAAATATCCCACATCTTAATTCCTAGGACCTGATAATGTGATTGTATTTTTAAATAGGGTCACTGCAGATGTAATTAAGATAGAATCTTGAAATGCAGAGCTTATCTCAGGTCATCCCCTGGCCCCTAAACCTATGACATAGGTCCTTGTAAAAGAGAGAGAGCGATTTGATAAAGAAAAAGGAGGACACATGTGAAGATGAAGGCTAACAATGAAGTGATGAAGCATTGCTTGGCAAACACTAGATGCTAGAGAGCATGTAAAGGATCCCTGCCATTCCTCCAGAACCCCCTGCTAGAGTCCTGGAGGAAGCTGACACCTTGATCTTGGACTTTATCCTTTCAGAGCTGTGAGGGAATAAGTTTCTGTTATTTAAGTCACCTGGTCTATGATATTGTGTCATGGCAGCCAAAGGAAATGAACACAGGACAGCATATTACTCTACTTTTCTATGTGTTTTGAAATTTCTATAACTAACAAAACTTAATGACAAGTTCCTCAGGATACAGCGAAGCTGTGGCAAAGTGGCAGGGGCCTGGTAGAAGGAAATGGATTCTGTAGGTGGGGCTAAGCTGCAGGGGTCCCTCAAGGTCCCATCAGTCTTCCCCCAAACATTGGCCCAAGTTGGTAACCTGCTCCCACTTCTGAAATCCCCTTTCTCACTGGCACCAGGGCCTTTGCACAGTCATCCAGATAACCTCTGCTACCTCACCCCATCACTCAGCTTTTAGGAAAGCTATGAAGAACCATGCCCCCAACCTTTCTCCTGCCCTGCCTGACATGTTTCCTTAGAGGCCCCCTCCCACCTGCCTGAGAAATTTCTTATTGTTATTCCTCTCCTCCCAGTAAACTCAAGTCCATTCTATGTAGGATCTTAACAAGTCTGCTTAAGATCAGGGCCCTTGGGTGCAGAGAGAGAATATGGGCACAGAGAGGTGGCGGTCATAAACTGGGAGAAGCCAATAAGAAAACCTTACCTCCCAGGGCTGCACTGACCCTCCCCATGTGACCTTGGATAATCCTCCCATGGGAGAACTGAAGTGGGCCATTGGTATCACTCTTTCCAGTCAATGGAGGGAAGGTGTCCCACCTGACTGTAGCAGGGGAGAGGTCCCGTTTAACACTGAGCCCAGCCTAGGCCCTCTAAGTCAGGCTCATGCTCACATGGAAGTCAGTGTGTCACCAGTGACAATGTCTCACCCAGCTACCAGTGTCTACTCTATTAGCACTCACAGGGCCCAATTCCCAAGGAGACAGCCACACCAAACCTCCCAGATCAGATCATATTAACCTCCTTGTTGATATAAAGCCTGAGTCCATCCCACAGCTATCAGGTTCTCTACCCAAGGACAGTACATGGGCTTTACCTTTCAAGCTTAGCCTGACAGGATACCAATCCTGACCAGTCAGAGGTAGGTGGAAGGTATAATACAAAGAATTTATTTGGACCCTCCAGCCCACCATAGTCCCACACCTGATTTGAAAGGCCCGTTTGGGACAGACCCCTCTCTCAGGTTCCAAGTCTACATCCTGACTGGAGATCAGGCTCACTCGGTGCTCAGGAAGACCCTCTTGCGTGCAGTGTTGGTATAGGGGTGCCAGCGCCATTCCACATCTGCTGTGGCCTCCTGCTCCAGTGTGCCCAGGCGAATCATATACACTGGATACAGAGGGACAGGACATTATCATCTCAACCAGCCTCTCCTCCTTTACCCCCTCTAAATGTGGGATAAACTTCAAACTCACATTTCATCTCAAATCGAGGCCCAACCTCAGTTAGCTCCACATTGCGATGGTCCACCTTCTTGTAAACATGGTGCCTGAGGAAAAGAATGTGGCAGGAGTGTGAGCTGGAAAATGCTGTGCGTCAGCCATAGTATGAAGGACACAAAGGCCACGATGCCAACCCAGGAAAAGCCCAAAGACCCACCGGAATGAGATATAATCATCCTGGTTTGCAAAGGTGATGACCCGGTGGCTGTCATCTTTGGGCACAGGGAACAAGTAACGGAGGATGTCTGAAACCTGGAGTACAAAGAAGGAAAGCAGCAAATACCTGGCCTGGTCCCCAACTCTTTCCCCAAGGCCCCTAGACTTACCCGCTTGCCCAGCCGGGAGGAGAAGCCATGCGTGATGAGATGAGGCTTGGCCTCTGACACGGTGTCCAGGTCAGGGATGTCATGTCTCATAACCACATTACACAGTGTGAAATAAGCAGTAGGGCCAAATGGCAGGTGGCTGATGATAAGCCCCACTGTGGGAGCCAAACGTGCTGTCAGAAACCCCACCTGCCCTCAGGAGACCTCCAGACCCGTCTCCCTCCCACCAGCCTCACCAGGTGTGCCTCGGTGTTCATGTACAACCAGGAGGTCAGTGACCCCGTTGGCTTTACAGGCTCGCACTAGTGCCCCCACCTCATGCCGACCTCGGTTCATGCGCTGGGCACCCGGGAACACAAGCTTTAACTCCTGCACATGGATCAGAGAGCCCATCAAGAGTCATAGAAGCTGGCAAACATTCCAGGGGGGAATTTTCTATGACTCTTAAATCTTAAGATTAGGGGTGTTAGTCTTCGATGTCCCCCACTCGCTTCCTGCCCACCAATACCTTTGCAAACATCTTCAGGCGGGAACTGGGATCCCGGGAGGTGGTGATCATGACCTTAGGATCCTCGACCCCAGCCCATCGATATTCATCATCTACATGACTGGTCACACCTATTAGGAGTACCAAGGGACAAGAATTCAAAATTTTGGGGGAATAAACTGCTAATCTGGGAACAACTAAATCTGTCTGAGAAATCTTCGATGATGGGAATGCATCACATTCACAAGAGCTAAGAGGTGGCCACTAGCCCACTGGCTACCAAGCACAAGTACAACCGAGGGATGGAATCTTCCATGTTTGCAAAAGTCTAGATTCTGTTGACACACTCATCTGCCTCACAATAAACATCTAAAGTGTTTGCGATTCCTTCCTTGTTTTTGAATAATGCAATACTTGAAACATTTGAGTGGCAATGTCATGTTGGGTGTTAGGGACATTCTCCTGAGCTGGCAGACATTCCAGGGGGGGAGATGATTAGAAAGCAGAAAATAAGTTGACCACTACTGTGTTGTATAAATGGAACTGGAAGCACTTAGGGAAAGCCCCTATAGTGCCATGTATGCAGACACAAGGGCACCTAGGGGACAGTTCCAGGAACAGTTTCCATGGAAACTTTCCTTAGGTGGGCAAGTACCCAGTGTGTCTGAGAAGGTCAGGGAGGCTAGTGAGCAGAGGAGTTGGTTCAGTGTTAGGGAGGGCTATGCTGTATACAGTCACCTTCACCACCAGCATCATCGAACTCCAGGGACCCCTGCAAGGCCAGAGCCTCCCGGCGTAACTCAGTGGGAATCAGGCGGTTTTCTGTAGGGGAAAAACGTGGGCTGAGTGAGACATAAGCAAAAATGCTCTCATTTTATACTCTGCAGCTTACAGGAATGTACAAATTTGATGAAAAAATGTTACTCCTTTCTGAGCAGAGGCAATACAGAATTATTGGGAGAAAGAAAGGCAACAGGTTGGTCTATTTGCCAATCTGTGGTCACAGGGAACTTCATTTTCTATGACTCTTAAATCTCTAAAAGCTTCTTAGAATATTTTATCACAAGCATACAGTCAGATGAAAATTTAAAAATTAATTTTTTTAGGGCTGGGGGTTTAGCAGTAGAGTGCCTGCCCAGCATGCATGAAGTACTCAGTTCTATTGCTAACAATGAAAACGAAATCAACTATTATTAATATTTTTGTGATGCTGGGGAATCTAACTCAGGGTCTTACGCATGCAAGGATGTACTGCTAAGGTACATCCCAGGCCAAAATTAATTTTTTGTTTTTGGTACTGGTGATTGAACCCAGGGCCTTGTGCATGCGAGGCAAGCATTCTACCAACTTAGCTCTATCCCCAGCCCCCCAAAATTAATTTTTTAAAGATACATAAATGTCCTACCTTGTAGGAAGGTAGGCCAGCAACCCTAAAACCCTCAACAATAAATCCACTTATAATGCAGAAAATGCCTCAGCTGGCTTTGGGTCAGAGATTTCCTTTGTGGACTAAGCAGGGCTGGCTGGGGACTGTGCTGTGGAGTACCACCCCCTCCAACTCTGGTGTACAGAATTAAACCTGAGAATACCTGTGTGCCCAGCTCTGCCCTCCAGCTTGCCCTGGAGGCACACTTGCACATGGAAGGGGAAATCCTTTCAGTGCTTAAAGATTAAGATTCTTGTAACCCAATATTGAAGGGAGTAAGAACAAACACCAAGGGGGAGATAATTTATAAGATCATATAAAAAAATTAAAACTTTGAAAGAACTTGCATACTGTAAATAAAGTTAATAAGCTGGTTCAGCATAAATACCAAGTAATTGATACCGACATATGGAAGGAACATTCACAAACCTAACAGGTGATAAACCCAGCCTAATTCCCTCAAGATTGGGAGCTATCTCCTTAATTCCCTCAAGACTGGGAGCTATCTCCTCACAAAGGCATGAAAAGTTAATTTCAGCTTTACTATAAATTACTGCGACTTCTAAAATGCCTACCCATGCCTTGAACTCACCCATGCCTGGTTTTCCCTGACCAGATAACAACCCTCTCTGAAACTTTAGTGGTGCCTCATAAATTCTGATGTTGGGATCTAAATTAACTCCCTAAGTGCTGGACCATGAACCTACTACCTGCCTTTGTGTTATGCTTGTCAAAATCCTGTTATCTGTAAGTTCTCAAGACACCCCACCCCTCTTTTTGCAACTTTCTGTGCTATAAAGCTGCGCTCCTAGCGAGTTGCGGTGCTGTCTTCTATTCCTAAGGGCTTCGGGAGATTCAGCTCCCCAGGAGTTACAATTACAAGCTTGCTTTAATTTGATTTAAATTGGAGTCCGTGGTCTTTTCTTTGCATCATGGTTTAACACAGGAAAGAAAAGAGGGCAGTAAATACTGAAAACGTGCTCGTCCACACTAGCACAAACAATCTAGCATTTTGTTTTACACAGTTGGATTACGCGGTCTTTGAAATGGCTCGTCTTGCCCTGCAGGGACTGGGTAGCTTACCTTCCAGCGCGCGCCGAACTTTCTCCTTCTTCTCCTGGGCCGATCGCTGGGCATCCTCGCGGGCCTTTCGGTACAGGTATTCGCGGCGCAAGCGGGCCTCACGGCGCAGCTGGGGAATACAAGGCTGTCACTGCTTGCCCCCAAACCCCAACACCATAACCACAGCCCTCTGCGAGCCCCCCACCTCTAAAACCGGAGTTCAGACATCGCTCCTACCATCCTGAGCGCCGCTTCCACGTGAGTCGAGAACTTGTGGGCGTGGTCGGCGCGACGGCGGCCTTCACTTCCGCCCTCAACCAAAAAGGTCGCCAGAGGTTTCGTCAGAGTCTATCGTTGTCAGAAGAATGCCCCATTTTAAGATGGCGTAAGAGCGGAAGGGGTCGCAACCAATCAGTTGGAGTCAGGAAGCCGTTAATAAAGATGTCTGCTCCCGGCTTCACCACCCGCTACGCCAATGCACGTTGCCCAGTTTTAAAACGATAAACCGCTAAAACATAATCACAGCTGAAAATAGCCCACCAACTGTAAAAGCGGCAAGACGAATGACTGGGGAGACTCTGGCACTAAGTTTAAAGCCGCTGCTCCCTTAATCAAAATAGTTGTCATACAACTTCGCCTTTTTACATTGCCATGGCGGTAGAGCGGCTTTTAAAGTTCATTCGCTTCGTGAAGTAATTCATAACCCCCTTTATCTCTCGCCGTCCGGTTGGCGGATTCGCTTGAGGAGCTAACCAGAGATACCAATTCATCCATGCAGTTTCCAGGACCGAGCTTGCAGTTAAAAGGCGCCGCAGGGCCTGGAGACCAGAGGCTTCCGGGCTACGGTGGGGAACGCTTCTCAGGGGCGTGTTTAGCGCCCCGATTGGCTGTCCTACCGGCGCAGTTGGCGGTGATTGGGCGACCGGGAAGGAGGTGGTTCCGGGTCGGGGGCCTCAGACCAGTTGAGAGCCACGGGTGGCTGGCCCATGGCGGCGCCCAACCTAAGGGTGGAGTTGGACTCGCTTCTCCTGCAGCTGCTCAGAGACCTGGAGGAGCTGGAAGTGAAGCGGGGGGCGCTGAACGCTCGAGTGGAGGAGGTGGGTGCCTGGGGAAAGGGGGAAGAGCCCACAGGCGTAAACTGGGTCTCACAGCTTTCCTCTCTTCAGGGCTGGCTCTCGCTTGCAAAGGCTCGCTACGCAATGGGTGCCAAGTCTGTAGGGCCCTTGCAGTATGCCTCTCGCATGGAACCCCAGGTCTGTGTGTGTGCCAGGTGAGGAACCTTCGACAGCGGAGGGAGGAGTGCAGGCCCAGGCCAGGGCTCTCAAAGGTCTGTCTCCCCTTGTCCTTCAGTGAGACCCAGAACGGATTCCAGACCTTCAGGGTGGTGAGAGCTGATGCCCAGACTCCAGAGGAGGTGGGGCCCAGAGAGTCAGGTGAGTCCCCTTTCTCCTGTTAGGGACCCTACCCGATATCAAAGACAAAACGCCTCTGAGCTGTAGATCAGAATGTTTTAGTAGTGTGGTTTGGCTTTAGACTTTTATAGGGAGGATTTGAGAAGTTATATAGGTGGGTTGCATTACAGTTGGGGTAGTTTTGCAGTCAGGGGAACTCTCAGCCGAACAGAAAATCTTATTATCTTAACTATTTTGGAGGAATAAGCTTATAATTCTAGTTGACTATTTGAGAGACAAAGAATGGGAAGTTGGGGTGGGGTGGTCCTTCCAGATGTTTCAGCACATTAGGCAAAATGGGTAAGACCAGTGCATGGCTTTGTCAAGGGAAAACAAGATCATTTGTGAGTTTTACTGGGGAGTCATGAGGAAGTGGACAGAGTATCATCTGAATCACAAGAGGAAAGGTGGTGCTATATCTAGGAACATAAAAGGTGGGGATTTCCCAACATTCAGTGTTTTTTAGAATCATGAGCTCAGAGTAAGCTCAACATTGTCATCAAGACAACAAAGTCCTGTAGTAAGACACCATTCACCTTCAACCTTTCTTTTTCCAGCTTTGCGCAGGCGCAAGGGCCCTACCAAAACTCCAGAGCCAGAGCCCTCTGGAGCCCCACAGGACCCCCTGAACTGGTTTGGAATCCTGGTTCCTCACAGTCTGCGGCAGGCCCAAGCCAGCTTCCGGGATGGTAAGTAGATCCTGCCAGTTGGCCATGTGGCCCTGAATTATTTTTCTGGCTCTCTAACCAGAGAGCACTTGAGCAATAACATGTTAGGACTTTGCAGGTTTACTCCATTGCAAACTTTTGTTTCATACCTGTTTTTTCCCCAAAAGGTACTCATTGGCTATTGTCAGTGTAGAATACAGTGGGGAACAAAAGGGACAAAGAGCCTTCATGGAGACTTTATTCTGTGGTGGAGAGAAAGGCAATGTCAAATAAATGAGTAGGCCTTTAATATAATGTCAGTCTGTGAAAACTGTGAAAAAAGTAACACAGAAAGGAGTGGGATAGGAGTGAGCTAAGGCAGCTATTTTATGAAGGATGGCCAGGGAGGGTCTGTCTGAGGAGATGAAGAAAAAGCTGTGTGGGTGATCTGGGGGAACAGAGTTCAATGCAGAGGAATCAGTCAGCACAAAAGCCCTAAGGGAAATATTCTTGGTGCATTGGCAGAAGAACAGAGATGAGCCAGTGGGCTAGAATGGAGTCAATTCAGCATGAGTGCCAGGAATAAGGGCAGGAAGGCCAGGCCCTGGTAATGTAGGCCCTAATGAGGACTTCTGGAACCATGAGGTGGCTCATGGGTAACAGGAATCCTTTAAGATACTGAGTGGAGATAGACTGGAGAACAGTGAGAAGTAGCAGGTGCCAGAAGCATCCAGGAATGAGAAGCCAGTGAAGGTGGGGTAAACAGTGGGAACTTGCACATGTTTTGAGAGGAGAGGCCTTGGCATTTGCTGACAGATTGGATGTATGAATAAGGGAAAGAGAGTTCAGGAGAACCCATGGTCTTCACCCACAACCCTGGGAGGATGGAGCTGGAGTGGGCAGGCGGAGTGGGCAGGCTGCAGGGCAGTAGGCTGTTGTTTAAATCCACAATTTGTTAACACAGATGTGCAGGGTTAAAGCTGAGACGGGATGAGATCTAAAGAAAGCCTGGGAGTGTGAATGGGAGGTGTGGAAGAGGAGACTCTGGAACAGTGCCCAGAAGGTGGGGTGTCCCAGAAACCAAAAGGAGAAAGTTGCTTCCTGGAGGGAGCAGTAAAATAGATGTGTGATCATCCCTGCTGTGAATGGGAGGCTTAAAACTGAGGACTGACTGGAGACTGGGTGATAGGGAGGACTAGATAGCAGAGACATTGGCAAAAGTTACCTAGAGGTGGATCCAGAGTATGGATCACTTTCAGGGACAGAGAAAAAAGGTGGAGGGAGGGAGTGCCATGATGGAAGGAGGAAGGGAATGAGGCCATGGAGAAGGTGTTACCATCCATGAGGTTTTCATTTCTGCTGGATGATAAGGCGGGCAGGGAAGTCTTCTGAAGAGATGACATTTTATCACAGACCTGAAAGAAGTGAGGATATGGGTGTGTGTCCAGTGAGGTCTGGGAGCAGCCAATGATTTGCCATACCAGGAACATTTTAGGAATAGTGTGAAGGCCAGAGAGGCCTGGAATCTTTGCAGTCCCTGGGGAGTCAGGCAGAGCCTTCTGAGTCATGTGTCACACTATCATACCACGGTGACATTTTCTCTTCTTTCCCCCAGGCCTACAGCTAGCTGCAGATATAGCCAGCCTCCAGACCCGTATCAACTGGGGTCGAAGCCAACTCCGGGGGATCCAGGAGAAACTCAAGCAGCTGGAGCCTGGGGCTGCCTGACCGTGTCCACAGAGGCAGGCACTCAGCACAGCTGTTCATGGATGTGGCTGTCTTTTCTCAGGCATTCTTCTTTCATAAATAGTCCCTGCTCCAACCTCCAATCCAGCTAATGCCCTCTCCTTAAAATGTCATTGGTCTTCATATTTTCGACTTTGTTAGGTGTGAAGTTCCAAGTTTTTAATCCTATGTTCACATTGTGAGATATAAACATTTCTTCCCAAACTGAGTAATATGAAAGTCACCTTCTTTGGAACCACTTTTAGGCCCATGTTATCATAGGAAACTCCCACCCCCACCGCAGAGAGCAAGTACAAGGTTGTTCGTGTTAGTGAACAATTGAACGACCTCATAGATGAGCCAACTGCAGTCTCATTCCTGGATGATGAAATACTTCACAAACAGTGGCAGGAAAGGATAAGAGGTAGTGCTTCAGGGTCACCAGATCCTCAGAATTGACTTGGATAGAGGAGAAGATTGTACATGACCAACAGATCAGGACAATATGAGTTAATAAAAATACAAACATCTACCTGAGTGTGATGTGTGCCCCCCTGTTGTCCCATTTACTCAGGAGGCTGAGGCAGGAGATCACTTGAGGCCTTGAGTTTGAGACTAGCCTGGCAACATAATGAGATTCTCTCTCAAAGACAAACACCTGAGTAGACAGGTAGCCCTTAGCAGGATCTAAACCAGGAAGTAAAAAAGGTTTGACCTGGATATGTTTAGGAAGAGACTTGTCTATGTTTCAAAAACCTGCCTTTATCTTACCAGGAGTGAGGCAAAGACATTCTTTATTTTTTGAAGGGCCAGTTGTGTATTTCCTGTTCTGAGAACTCTTGTGTTTCACTTTTCTACTGGTGGTTTATCGTTTTAGCAGTATCTAGGGGTTCTTTTTCTGTTTGTTTTTGTTTTTTGCCAGGGGTGGTGGGGGTATGTAATCCTTTGTTCATAATATGAGATGTAAATATTTCTTCCCAGTTTGTCTTTAACTTTGCTTGTAGTGTTGTTTTTTTTTTAATTGTAAAATAAAACTACATCAACTGTACAGAATAATAGTGAATGACTGATGTGAAAGCTATAGTTACCTTATTCAAGCTCTTACGTTTTTTAAAGTAGAGTTTATCAGCCAGTTATTAGGATTTTGGGTTTGAGGTTGTAATTAATGTGATGATAAGGGAAATATCTGGTATTTCATAAACTTGAGGTTTCAAGTAAATCCTGTGCCCAACTTTTCCACCATGTGCATATGGTGTTAATCCACCTTACTCTGGTCTGAGAGGCCACCTTTTATTTTGCATATGATCAGTGTAAATAGGAATTTTAATTTTGGAGCTTCCATTGTGTTTCATTAACCTAAGTCCATCAGTACACCGGCATTATGCATTTTAATTCTTGAGCCTTTCTACTTAAACGCTGGTAATTGTGTTGGGGAAGGGGATCCACATTTAGCCTCGTTGAGCATGAGTAGCCAGTGAAAAGCCTAATGGAAGAACTCAAATGGAACTGTACTGTGACCCGGGATGGGGTTGTGTAGAGAGAAGTCCTCCCTCCCTCTCTCCGCTCCTTAAGCGGTTATTTTATTTTATTTTTTTAAATCCCGCTATCAACAAGGTGATATCTTGAAGCCAAAGAGAGTACACAAAGAACATATTCAGTTATTACTTTGATCAGTGCTGTTGTAAGGGATGAAACTGCGACCTCTGCTAACACTGCTGAAGACAGCAAAGTGCCATTCATTCGTCCTCCGAGCTTCTGCCTTAAATCCAGCTCGCAGCCAGACAGGGTTGGGGTGGTCGCGAAAGTGGGAGATTCCAACTCCAGCCCAAGTCCTGGCTTCCCGGGCTCACGCAGCCGCAGTCGCGATGAATCTCAGAGGCGGGGCGAACCTGTTAATGCGCAGTTGGTGTGAGAGGTGTGGCAGAGAGGCACACGTAAATGACAGATACGAAACTGGGGAAGGCCCAACCAAGAGTTCCCATATGGTCTAGCGGTTAGGATTCCTGGTTTTCACCCAGGCGGCCCGGGTTCGACTCCCGGTATGGGAACATGTCAAGTGTTTTGCTTAAAAAGTGGCCAAAATTTTGGCTAGACGCCACTGCAACGCCTCAGGTCAGATGGGGAATAGTATTACTCTCCCTTCGGATCTGACGAAAGTGAGACCTTTTGAACTGGGCACTTTCAATCTGTGTTTTGGTCGATGTGATCACTGTCATCTCGTTATAGTTGTCCATCAATAGCTTATTAATTCTATTAGATACATCTACAATATAGATATGAATAATAGTATTCCTGACATATAAATAACTTTTAAAATATTTAAAATTTATTGACAACTTCCGATGTAGAGGGCAGAGTCTTTCAGTCCGCGCTTCCTAGATGCTGTAACCCTCTCTCCTCTTCCACCCCTGGAGTGAAGAGAGAAGAAGGGGAGTGGGTGAGTGGGAAGAGAGATGGGGGGAGGGGGAAGGGAAGGTGGGAGGTTGGAGTGGGAGGAGAAGAGAAGGGGGAGGGAAGAAAGCGGGCGAGGGGAGAGAGGAAAAGGAGCGCGGAGGGGTGCGGGGAGGGGGTTGCGAGCAGATGCTGTAGTGCCCCTGGCTCAGAGGGTGCACCTGGGTCTATAGAGGTAAGTACAGTGAGATCCCCGGAGGCACTGGGGAGCCAGGGGCTGGGAGGAAAAGTCATTAACAATTTTGCTTTCTTTACTTTTGCTGATGTTTTTCAGAACTAGGGATAGAACCCAGGAGTCCTTCTACCATTGAAATATATCCTGAATCACAGCCTCTTCACCGCCCCCCGCCTTTTAATTTTATTTATTTATTTATTTAGGCACAGGGATTGAACCCAGAAGCGCTTTGCCACTGATCCACATCCCCAGCCCGTTTTTATTTTGTATTTTTGAGACAGGATCTTGCTAAGTTGCTTAGGGCCTCACTAAAGCTGCAGAAGGGTGGCTTTGTGATCCTGCTTCAGCTACCCAACCTGCTGGAATCCCGGCTACTCCCCATCCCCCCCACCCCACGCCCCCATTAAAAAATTAAAAAATGAGGCTTGTGTGTGAGTGTGCGCAGGGTGTGGGGGGCGCGCGAGCCTGGGAGGAGGATTTGGAGCTAGTAGGTACTTGCATCACAGCCAGCTCTTGGCGCCCTTGTGTGAGGGACTCGGGGAGCCAGCAGTGCACAGCTGGGAGCGAGGCAGTTGCAACTGCGGGAGGAAGAGGAGGAGGGCTGCAGCGAAGGGGGCGAGCGGGGCCCGCGGAGGAGACGGCAGCCCTGAAGTGCATTTTCCTCTCCAGCGGCCATGTTAATGAGGAAACTTATGCAGAGGGGGGGACAGCCCTGTTCGCCAGCTTCAGGCTTTCCCGGGACTCGGTGTGGGGGCCCCGCCCCACCCCATCGCCCTGCCTCCTCTCCTGTCTCTGCAACCCACAGGATTGGTGGCACTAAGCTCACAATGAAGGATCACCTGCAAGTTAGCAGTCACAGCCACGGACAGATCCAAGATCAGCAACTGTTTGGGGATAACAGTAACTAGAGGGCAGTGCTCACGACATAACCAAATGGGCAAAATGGGCTTGCCAGGGGTGCAGTGCCCCAGCTGGAAAGCATTTACGGATGGCAGGGGAGTTCCACCTCTCTGAAGTCCATGGAAGGCATGGGGAAGGCAAAAGCCACCCCGGTGACTCCTGAACAAGCAGTGAAACAATATATGCAAAATTTAACAGCCTTCGAACACCATGAGATTTTTAGTTACCCTGAAATGGTAACTATTTGGACTTTGGTCCAAATGCAATGAAGCACCAGGGCATGAGAGGTGGACCCAACAATGGTGGCTATAATGACGACCAGAGATTATATGTGCAGGTGCCCCACAATCATGTGACTTACAAGTATAAGATTCTCAAGGTCATTGGAAAGGGGAACTTTGGTCATGTTGTCAAGGCCTAAAATTACAAAGTCCACCAGCATGTGGCCCTGAAGGTGATGCAGAATGAGAAGCCTTTCACCAGTGAAGGAGATCCAAATCCTGGAACACCTGCCCCACCATGAGTGTCATACACAAGTTGGAGAATTTCTTCTTAGGCAACCACATCTGCATGACATTTGAACTGCTGAGTATGAACCTCTGAGTTCATCAACAGGAGTAAATTTCAGGGCTTTAGCCTGCCTTAGGTCTACAAATTAGCAGTGCTTGGATGCTTTGCTCAAAAACAGAATAATTCACTGTGACCTTAAGCCCGAGAACATTTTGTTAAAGCAGCACAGTAGAAGCAGTATTAGAGTGATTGATTTTAGCTCGTTAGGCGCGTCAGTGTGTCTACACATACATCCAGTTGCGTTTTTACCAGGCTCCAGAAGTGATACTCTGGACCAGGTACCCCATGCCCATTGATATGTGGAGCCTAGGCTGCATTTTACAGGGCTCCTGACAGGTTACCCACTCCTACTTGGGGAGGATGAAGGGGACCAAGTGGCCTGTATGACTGAACTGTTGGGTATGCCTTCCCAGAAACTGCTGGATGCCTCCAAATGAGCCAAACATTTTGTGAGCCCCTAGGGTCATCCCCATTACTGCATTGTCACTACTCTGAGATGGTTATGTGGTCCTCAATGGAGGCCGATCCAGGAGGGGGAAGCTGAGGGGCCCACCCCAGAGCAGAGAGTGGGGAAATGCACTGAGGGGATGTGATGACTTGACTTCTAAACAGTGTTTTTAGAATGGAATCTCCTGGGCCAGGCTTTATGGCACCCCTGGCTGAGGAGGAAGTTGCCAAAGCCTCCCACTGGGGAGAAGACATCAGTGAAAAGGATAAATGAGAGCACTGGTGCTGTGGGTTATGTTGATTTCCAAGTTAACTCCACCTTCCAGTTAGGCTTCTAAATCGAGGACTAATTTGGCACAAATGACAGATGCCAATGAGAATATTCAGCAGAGGACAGTGTTGCCAAACACTGTTAGCTGAGCTGGTAACCTGAAAGATATGACATAGCTGAGCCTTATTGAGTTGAAAAGGTGTAGCTCAGAACTGTTTTTTTTTTTTTTTTTTTTTGAGGTACTGCAGAGTAAACCTAGGGGTGCTTTACCACTGAGCTGTTGAATTTATCACAATGGAACCATCATGGTGAAGATTTAAAAAGAATAGAAAAGAAAAGCCCAGGAACTCTGCCAGTTGGCACATTGACATTGTGGACGTTCGTATCTTGTTTGCTTAGTCCAAAGCCTTCAGTTCAGACAAAGGTAGAGGAAGGAGAAGACATATTGATTCAAGTAAAAGAGAAGGTCTTTCAAGTTAGTCAGACAGAGGAAAAGATTCAAGTAAAAGAGAAGGTCTCTCAAGTTAGAGGAAAAGATTCAAGTAAAAAAGAAGGTCTCTCAAGTTAGTCAGACAGAGGAAAAGATTCAAGTAAAAGAGAAGGTCTCTCGAACTAGTCAGACTGAGGAAGAAAGTTTACAGCAGAAAAAGCCATCAGGGGAAAAGTTACAACAGGAGACTGCTACTAACACCTCTATCACCAGAGGGCGTAAGTGTCCAACCAACAGTGCCACCTCCATATGCTGGGAGGCTCCCAACCCCTGCAGTTGATAGTTGGGATCCTGAGACAGGATCTCAAATATTAACATGTCCTGTATTTGAGCAGGCAGGAGGGCAGTTGGGCTCTGAAGGTTTTTCCTGAGGAGCTGTGTGGTTTGGTGTGTGTGGTTCTAAAAATAAAGTTCGTTTCTTTTGACAAGGGGCTCCTGAATTGTGCCCAGCCAGACTGCGGCACTGAGCTACATCTCCAGCCCTTTTTTATTTCATTATTATTATTGTTATTGTATTATTATTATTATTATTATTTACCAGGAATTTAACTCAGGGGCACTCAACCATTGAGCCACATCCTTAGCCCTATTTTGTATTTTATTTAGAGACAGGGTCTCACTGAGTTGTTTAGCACCTTTGCTGAGACTGACTTAGAACTCACAATCTTCCTGGCCCAGCCTCCCAAGC